GTTGGCTCGCTCTGAAAGGGGAGGGCGTGCGAGGCGCCCCTGAGCCCTGGGAGTGCAGGTGTGGGAGTGGATGCCCTTCACGTGACCCTGGAGTCCCAGGGCCGGGCATCGCATGCAGTCCCCTTCTCCCCCATTTATGCCAAACCAGGGAGCCTTGAGGCCCCCCGATTCCAACACAGAATCCTTGGCGTATGCGTGGGAGTCGAGATGGATGCCTCTGGTTTGGTCACAGCCCTCCCCCAGCTCTGGGACCCTCTGAGAGCTTGTCCCCTTTACCTGTGGTTCCCGAGTTTGAACCGCCCTTCCCGCACCTTGGGACCAGGGCTGCCCTGGCACAGATGAATTTGGTGTCCGATTTCGCCAGGCGTTAGGGCTGCTTCGCACGCGTGGAGTCCTTGAGATCTTGAGTGAGGGCAGCAGAGAAAAGTCAGGGCCAGTTTAGACTCGGGAAGGCGTGGCCGTTTCTTACTTCACGTGGACTTTATTATTTATTTAATCACAAAAGCATGTGCTGGTGGTCATGAGACCAGCAGCAGTAGAAGCTTCTAAAGGAGAGCCTTCTACTTTTCCCTCCAGTCAAGGCCCCGGAGGCAGCCGGTGCCACTTCCTTCTCTCGTCATCTCCCCGCCCCACTCCAAGGAAATCCTGAGCCTACCTCAGTCCGATAGATCGCCTCGCAGTCCCTGGTCCCTGGTCCCCGGCTCTGGGCCCACAGGCTCGCGAACACTTCCCTCGGGCGAACATAGATTCCCCAGATGTAGTGGTGCTTCCTTCTGTAGAACTTTTTCCCAAAGGGAGTTTCAGGTGGAAGAGTTTTAATAATAAAATTTTGCCAATTGGAAAATTTTAATTTTGAGTGGATTACTTTGTCTTTTGTCATGTATGTGTGTGAGAGTGAATAATGCAAGCAACACCGAAGTACGAGGAAGAAAAAGTGAAAATCCACGCAGATCCCAGGCCCTGCATGCCCTTCCTGGCGTTCTCGTTGGCACCATAAAAAGGCTCTTTCCCTTTGGTGTTGTGTTGTCCCAGTGAATAATGCCAAGTCCCCGGGCTACACCTGCCACGTTTTCCCAACGCTCCTGCCGACACATGTACGTTACTAGGGTGGGCTGGTCCCTGGTGAAATGAGAGTCTCCCTCTGCATTTTGGGGACCTTGCTTCATGAGGCTCCTCTCACGAGGCGGGTATGCCTCACCCGATCCAGACCCCCCTAGTTGACAATTTACTCGGTCTCCAGATGTTTTGCTGCTACTGACAGTGCTGTAATAAACCTTAAGGATCCATGTTTCTGGCACTTTTGTGGCCCACATTCCAGGGTGGCTGTATTTTAACACGTGTCCGATAATTTTCCAGAAAATGTGTGGTGATTTACAGATTTTTAACTTTATTTTGTAAGTAACTGCAGGCTCATAGAAGAACACTTTCAGAAATAGTACTAAAATGATTCTAGGCCTGGGGTGCCTCATAGTGCCCCAAAGTAAGGGCTTGCTCAAACCCCAGAAAAGCAGGGGCGCCCGGGTGACTCAGTCGGTTAAGCGTCTGACTCTTTCTTGGTTTTGGCTCAGGTCGTGACTTCAAAGTTCGTGAGTTCGAGCCCCAAATCGGGCTCTGGGCTGACAGCGAGGAGCCTGCTTGGAATTCTCTCTCCTTCTGTCTCTGCCCCTCCCCCCCTCACGCTGTCTCTGTCTCTCTCAAATAAATAAAAAACCTGCAAAGCAGAGCCTTACTGATAGGGGTATGTGAAGGCATACAGGAGCGGATGGACAGTGCTCCCACTGGGCAAAGTTGAAAGTACTTCGAGCAACAAAAATAGCACAGTCCTGGGTTACACCCAGAGTCACAATAAACAAGTTGGCATGGAGCTAAATGGTAAATGGTGCAAACAGACACGTGTACAGAATTCCAGGTCATTTCTGTAGAATTTCTGTAAGTACCCTGCCTTCAAGGAGGGGGAGCATAGCCCCCATTTCTTATGTGTGGGCTGCAAAGTGACTTCCTTCCGAAGTGGATGGTATAGAAGGGGGGGGCGAGCAACTTCTCAGTGGAGAAACCTGACAAACACTGTATCAGCCAGGTGATCAAGGTCAGCATCAACAGGGTATCTCATGTTGGCAGGAAGTGCTCTTGATGAGGATGGTATCCCTATTGGTTCATGGTTGTGACAAACGTACTACACTAAGATGTTGAGGGAAAACTAGGTGTGGGCTGTTAAGGGGAACTCTTCTATCTTTGCAACTTCCCATAAATGTACTTCAAAATTTTATTTATTTATGGGGTGCCTGGGTGTCTCAGTTGTTGAGCATCTGACTTCAGCTCAGGTCATGATCTCACAGTTGGTGGGTTCGAGCCGTGCATCAGGCTCTGTGCTGATGGCTCAGAGCCTGGAGCCTGCTTGGAATTTTGTGTCTCCCTCTTTCTCTTCCTAGCTCATGCTCCCTCCCTCCCTCCCTCCCTCCCTCTCTCTCTCTCTCTCTGTCAAAAATAAACATTAAAAAAAAAAGTACAGGGGCACAGTTGGTTAAGTGTCTGACTTTTTTTTTTTTTTAATGTTTTTATTTTTGAAGGAGAGAGAGAGCATGGGCGAGGGAGGAGCAGAGAGAGAGGGAGACCGAATCCGAAGGAGGCTCCAGGCTCTGAGCTGTCAGCACAGAGCCCGACGCAGGGCTCGAACTCACGAGCTGTGAGATCATGATCTGAGCCGAAGTGGGACGCTTAACCGACTGAGCCACCCAGGTGCCCCCAAGTGTCCGACTCTTGATCTCAGCTTAGGTCTTGCTAGATCTCAAGTATTGAGAGTTCAGACCCCGTGTTGGGCTCCCACACTGGACATGAAGCCTACTCAAAAAAAAAAAAAAAAAAAAAAAAAAAAAAAAAAAAAAAAAAAAAAAAAAGTGCAAGGAGTTCTCATCTACCCTTCATGCAGGTTCCTGTGACATTTTATGATTATTCCCTCCTTCTTCCCCTTCATATTTACATATCCGCCCTAAAACAAGAACATTCTCTTACATGACCACAGTTCAATTATCAAGGTCAGGAAGTTAATATTGAAACAACCCTCTTCTCTCAGATCTTTATCAGATTTGACCAGTGGTCACAGCAAAATAAAAATGACCTGGCTAACGACTGCCATGTTGCGTTCAGTTGCGGGGGCACTTTACAGAATGTCCCCCACTGAGAGTTTGTTGCCTGATGTTTCCTCACGGTTCTATTCAAGCTACCTTTGACAGGGATTTTCAGAAATGATGTGCCCTTCTCGGTGCACCTTCTCGAGAGGCACATGAGATTCTGTCCCATGACTGAAGGTGGGGTCTGTCACATCTCTCTGCTGTAAAGTTACTACATGCCCTTTGTAGTTAGTGTCTTGTGTAGAGATACTCTGAAAATGTAAATACCTAGATTTTGTCCAAGTGTTCAGGCAAAGGGAACGACATGCACAAAGGCCCTAGGGCAGGCGGGTGCCTGGTGTGTTTGGGGAACATGAAGAGGCTGGGGGGGGGGGGGGGGGGGGGGTGCGTCAAAGGGAATAGAGGGGGATGGGGAAGGAAATGAGGTTAGAGAGGTAACAGTGGGCCGAAGGGGTCTTGTGGCCAAGGTATGGAGTTTGGGTTTTATTGTAAGTCTGACAGGAAGCTGTTAGTTCAGCATCTCACAATCCTCTCTCTGCTCATTTTTCCAGGATTTCTGCCCTTCCAGTGCCTGAAAATAGCAATCCCTTTCCTGCCTCAGTGCCTTTGCTCATGCTGTTTCCACCACTTGGAATATTCCGGTCCTCCACGCACCCCACCTTTGCATTCCCGGCTCATCTTTCGGGTTTCACTCCAACATCACCTCATCAGGTCCTTGCAAGCCACTGTTTGTAAATTATATCCAGCCTGTTCACTTACTCATCCAACAACTATTTCTTGAGGACCTGCCATGCGCCAAACCCTGTTCTAGGCACTGGGAAAACAGCAATCAAAACAAAACAAAACAGAAGGCAAGCCTTGCACTCATGGGGTTCACATCCTAGTCAGGAGAGAGTAACTAAGATGAGGCAGTAAGTGCTCACGAGAGAACAAGTGTGAAGAACGGAGATAGGAAATTCTCAGGATGGCGTTTTTCACAGAGGAGGTAACATCTGAGTAAACACCTTAAATGAGGGATCTGAGGGAAGCGCATTTCAGGCAAGGGCAACAGCGAGTGAAGGTGCTGGGGTAGGAGCGTGCCTCCTGTGGGTGAGAACGAGCCAGGAGGCCGGTGTGGCAGGAGACATGAGGGGGGTGGGGAGGTTGGGAGACGAGCTCCAAGGTGCGTGGGGCTGGTGGGGAGGATAATATAGGACCTCATGGACTTTCCCATTGAGATGGGAGACACGGTGGAGTTGTGAACAGAGGCAGGGTGGGATCTGACTTGGGCGTGCACCGGATCCCTTCTGGCTGAATGGGGCTGACAGACTACAGGGGATGGGGACCGGGGAGCAGCGAGGATGTGGCTGCGCCAGCCCAGACTGACCACTTACACGTTTGGAAACAATCCCTACTTTGCAGCTGAGGAAAGGGAGCCTCGGAGGGGCTGTTCCCGATCACATAGTTAGTAGCAGGAAGAGGATTTGACTCCAGCTGCCTGACCTTAGGTTTGGAGGGGCGTTCGCCATTGCCTCTGCACCTGCCCGGGTGCTCGGCACGCATGCGTGCAGGCACGTTTAAAGGGCCCGCCACAGGTCCTCAGCTCCAGCGGGAAGAGGTGGGCGCTGGGCTCGGATCTCGACGCCAGCCTGGAGGATGCTGGTGAGAGGCAGCAGTTAGGGTCACC